GCGCATCATGGTAGCAGCCGCCCGCGCGATTCGCGCTGACTGAGTTCGCTGATCTGCCAGCGACGCCGCCCGCCCGGGCCGCCGCGGCGGCCGCGCCACCATCATGCGCTTGCTCTTCAGAGCCATCTGGCGCCAGGACATCACTGTCGCAAGGCGCCCCCAGGCCCTCGCCGACCTGGGCAAGCAGTGCCTGGTCGTCATCGACGCCTCTATCACCCCGTCGAGCGACTTCCTCTTCGCCAGCCTGTCGGCCCCCCTGCGCCGTGACCTCGAGGTCCACCGGCGCTCTCTGGCACGGAGAGCGCCGCCCGCCGCCCTCTCAGGGGCGGGCCGACGCGATCCCCCCCTGGAAACTCTGGAAGATCTGTCGAAATCCGGGCATCGCTTGAACGTGTGCATTTTTCCTTCGGCGAGGACCATCGAGGAGCATCCTTGATCATCTGGCGAAAAAATTGCGCACGAGATCGAAGAAAACACGGGGAATGGACGTCCGAGCGATGGCCAGAAGTGGTCGCCCCCGTCGGCCCCATGGAGGCGCCGCCCCGCCTGCCGAGGGATCCGCGTCCAGGGCCCGCAGGCAGGCCCCACCGATATGTCGCCCGAGGGAGCGGTGCCATTGTCGACGCCTTGCAAGCGCGCGGGCGACCCATCATCGCTGCGATGTTGATCGGCAGCTGCACGGGGCAGCAGCGCGTCGAGCAGCGCATTCCCCGCGGCGACCAGATCGACGCTGGGGCTCCGTGCAAGCATCAGATGCAGGTCTTCCTCGTTCCCGCCGCCCCGCCGGCGCCTGGCCCCGACTGCCCGCCGCGCTTTGCCTGGCTCGCGCCTGCGACGACTCCCTCGACATCCTGGAGGGCCTCTCCCCAGACATGCGACGTCCTGATTTGTTTCTCAGGACGGCGCCCCTGGAAGTCCCGACCCTTTCTTCGGGGCCAGTTTTTCGCCCTGAGTTGTTCTCCGACAGTCCCGGGGCCCGGCGAGGACCCCCAAGGGCCGAAAATAATGAAAAAATTCCAGCCTTCATGCCCGGGCGAATCGATCCCAGGGGGCCCGCGCGGGTCCGACTTCGTCTTCCCCCGCAGGGGTGGCGACCTGACTGTGGGGCGCTCCTTGAGGACAAGGGCCCCCGAGGCCGCTTGCCCGCCCTCGCTGCATTGCGCGGGCGTCAAGGCCATCGCCGGGGCGCCCAGCTGCACTCTGGAGCCCTTCGCGGCCCAGAGGGCGCACATTGCGCGCAAGTCGCGCCTGTCCCTCTACAGGGGGAGAATTCAAACATAGGGACATCGCCCGGCAACTTGCGTGCATTGTTGTTGCTTTTTTGAAATTGTTTGGATTGCGTTTTGTCTCTCGTCAAGAATCAGCCTGCCAGGGGACAGGCACGACTTAACATTGCGCGGTTGGGCGTCGTGGCGGGGCACAACTTCGCCAATCGCACCGCGCGCCTCGACGCCCAGATGCGCCGCGCGGGCCTCCAGGTCGACCGCGTCGACCACCGCCCCGTCCTCATCGCCTCTGACTTCTCGGCCGCGCCTCCGTATCTGGGCAGGGCCTGGCTGTTTGCGCCGCCCCGGCACTTCGGCGTCCACGCGGGCGTGCTCAGCCTCTTCCGCGCCGCGCGCAATTCCCCATGCATCGTTCGTCCAGATCGATGGTTCCCGCCCCGCGATGTTCGACATCGATGCGGGGGTAGCTCAGGGATGCCCCTCCACTGCCCCGCGCGGGCAATCGCAGTGGACCCTTTGGTGCGCCACAGCGCCTCTTCTGTTGGGCACGACGACGGCGCGTTCGACCTGCCCCGCGGCTGCGCAGCCGCATGTGCTGACGACCTCGGCCTCCTGTGCAGCAAGTTCGCGATGGTGAGGCACGCCGCCGAGCCCTGCGCCGCCGCTGAAGAGCTCGCTCTGATCTCGCTCGAGCCATGAAAGTGCATGATCGCCCCGCTCTGTGACGAAGCGAAGCCTGCCACCATTGCCCAGGCCCTTCCGAGTTCCCCCCCCCTCCCAGCTCAGCATCGCGATTCCGGGGCGCGCCACATACCTCGGGGCCTTCCTGGGCCCAGCAGCGTCTCTTTCGGACGAATGGCACGCCCCGGGGCACAAATGGTGGCAGCGCGGAAATCCGTTTCATCTAGTCCAGTCAGGCAGCGACTCCACCGCTCGCTTGTAAAATGCCCCCAACACTTAGCTGCGTTGCTCGGTTCTTTTACTTGGAGCAAACAATCACTCGCCGTGAAGTCTACATCTGGAATACACTGCTGGCCATGCCGCCGAACTCGTTTCGCAGTGGCCGACTGGGCTCCAGCGCCCGTCCCGGCCTCGCGCCAGGCAGTCACAGTTGCCGCCGCCATGCGCTCCTCTTCGGTCACACTTCGGGGCGGCCGGGAGGACTTCTGCCCCCGCCTGCGCGACACGGCGTGGACGGAAAGCACGATCAGCAAGGTCCCGCGCTGGACTGCTGGGCACTGGCAAGGCCCAGCTCGTCTCCAGTGCGCAGTATTACTCGGGCCTCTGCTCTGGCCGGCGCTGCGGAATCTCCCCCGCCCAGGTGATCAGCTCGGCAGTGGCAGGGGACCGCGCCGAGGCTGCAGCCGCCTCCGCTGCCCCGCAGCGCCGCGCCCGCGTTCTGAGCGATTGCCGTGTCGCCACGGGCCGCATGTGTTCCCTCCTCCTCCTCCTCCTCCTCCTCCTCCTCCTTTTCCTCCTCCTCCTCCTCCCTCCTCCTCCTCCTCCTCCTCCTCCTCCTCCTCCTCCTCCTCCTCGCCTCCCTTCACCGTCACGTTCGCCAAACGCATGACCTCTTGGGGCCTGCAGCTGCCGCCTCCCGACGAGCTCTCCCCGCGCGGGGGATGGCTGTCCAGGATCCTCCACGAGTTCCGTCCGAGCTGGCGTCTTTAAGACTTTCAGCGGGCTCCCCGTCCTGGGCCCAGGCTCGCACAAAGGCGCTTGCTGGCGGCTGGGCGACGTTAGCACTTTGCGGCCGTAGACTCGGAAGGCGCCGCTGTTGCCTAAACAGCGGGCCGGTTTGCGGCGTCCGTGGCCCAGTGGCCCACGACCAAGTGATCGAAGCAAAAAACGGGGTCGTCTGCGCCGACGTTGGCGCGTGTAAGGTGCCCGCGTAAGGTCGCTCGCAAGCTCCCCCGTTTCCAATGTGGCGTGCCGCGCTGGCGGCCCGCTTAAGCCACTGCGTAAGGTCGCTCGCGGTTTCATCTCGCCCGTGGGCCCTTCCTTGGCCCCGATTCGTGCCCTGCCGCAAACGGGTACAGGAAGAGAATGCCCAAGGCCCCCCGCGCAGGGCGGCGTGATTCCCGAACTCCCCGCGACCGCGCGGGCGCAGCACAAGCCTCGAGCCCTCCCCTTCCTCCTCCTCCTCCTCCTCCTCCTCCTCCTCCTCCTCCTCCTCCTCCTCCTCCTCCTCCTCCTCCTCCTCCTCCTCGCTCCTCCTCCTCGCTCCTCCTCCTCAGGGCACGGCCCCGCCCGGCCGCAGCGCCGGCGCTGCGCTGGGCCGGGCTCGTCCGGAGCGCGTGTCCGGTCGTGGCCCGGGCCATGCACGGCCTCGCGTGACCGGAGGTCCGCGGTGCGGTTCGATGCGGAGGCCGAGCTGCTCCATGCCGGCGTCGCCGATGCATCGCCGGCGTCGCCGCTGCATCCCCAGAGATCCAGAGCGTATTGAAGAACAAAAAGCGAGGCGGAGTTTTGTTCGCTGTTTTCGGCCTCTAGCAGCCCTCGCCGGGCCCCAGGACCGTCAAAAAACGATTCAGGATGAAAAACCGGTCCCGGGGACAGGGTCGGGACTTCCAGGGACGCCTTCCTGAAAAAATCAGGAAGTCGCATGTCTGGGGCTGCATCGGCGACGCGGCACGAGCTTCCGACCCCACCAGCTCGGGCACCGTGGGGGCGACGCAGCAACACGGGTTCCATTGCGCGGGCATTCGCGCGCAGGCCGCCCGCGCGGGGTCGCGCAGGAGCGCCCTCGCTTCCGATGTGGCGTGCCGCGCTGGCGGCCGCGTAAGCTGCGGCGCAAGGTCGCTACGTCGTCTCGCGTAGAACCAGTTTGTTTTCGTCGCTCGTTTGCCAGGAGGGGAAATCGACACAGACACAAGCCAACGCTGTTCTCCATGAAGACAACGTGGGAAATCAGGGCAGTGGAGGGGGCGAGAAACCTCCAGGAAACATGAGCAAAATACGGGAGTCTTGGCACCCTTGCGGATTAATCAGTGTCTCCCTGGAGGAGGACGAGGAGGGAGGAGGAGGAGGAAGAGGAGGAGGAGGAGGAGGAGGAGGAGGAGGAGGAGGAGGAGGAGGAGGAGCGAGGAGCGAGGAGCGAGGAGCGAGGAGAAGCGAGGAGGAGCGAGGAGGAAGAGGAGCCCCCTTCTTGCCCCAGAAGGCCGCGCGAGAGGCCGCCGCGGCCTGGTACACCGCCTCGTTCATGGCGCCAACATCGCAGAGCGGATTTCGTTCGGGAAACGATAGGATGGGCCCGGAGTGTCCTGGAGAGTTCAGTTTGGGATTTCGAGGTGAATTTCGTGTGGATTTTTCTGTTGGCCAGGAATGAAGACTAAACAAACATCCACGCCAAGTTCACTTCGTTTTTCGCTCGCCGCTTCGGGGCTTTCGGTTGACAGACATCCACGCGTAGATCTGCTGTAGCACGTCTGCAAGGTTGGTGCAGTGACCCAGTGCCCAGGCCTGCCGGGAGGAGGAGGAGGAGAGGAGGAGGAGGAGGAGGAGAAGGAGGAGGAGGAGGAGGAGGAAGAGGAGGAGGAGGAGAGGAGGAGGAGGAGCGAGGAGGAGCGAGGAGGAGGAGGAGGAGGAGGAGGAGGAGGAGGGAGGAGGAGGAGGAGGAGGAGGAGGAGGAGGAGGAGGGGGGAGGAGGAGGAGGAGGAGCGAGGAGGAGGAGGAACGAGGAGGAGGAGGAGCGAGGAGGAGGCGCCCCCTTCTCGCCCCGCAGGGCCTCGCGAGAGGCCGCCGCGGCCCATGGCACCCCGCCCAGTGCCCAAGGCGTGCCGGGAGCAGCACGGCTGCGTGGCCGCCAACTTCCAGAGCGGGCCGTGCAGCGGCGAGCAGTACGGCGGCGTCGGCTCCGGGGCGCGCGTTCGCGCCCGCGCGGGCGGCCAGCCGCGCCTCGGGGGCCAAGCTCGGAGGGCGCGTCTCAAGCAGTGGCGAAGCGTCCTGGCTCGCCTATAGCCCCACCAAGCAATGTTCTAAGAACCTCTTGTGGTTCCCACGAGATGTTCTTGGAACATTGCTGGCTGGGACTGTCTTGTTTCAACACGTCGGGTGGATGTTCTGAGAACATTGTTTTTTGTTCTTAGAACATTTTGGGGTTCTAAGAACATTTCGTGGTATGACTATAGGCATGCCGGGACGGTCGGTCCCTGCTCAATGGAGGGCGCGTCGGGAGTGCCAGACGTCGGGCGCCTCGAACAAATCGAGACGGGGATGCTTCGTAGCTTTCGTCCTCTCGGGACCCCTGCCGGGCCTCGGGGCCGTCCAAGAGCGGCTCGGGACGAAACACCGGCCCTGGGGAGGTGGTCGAGCGGGCGGGGGCCCGCAATTCGAAAAAGTCGAGACGCCGTGTGTCTGGGACGGGCCGGATGGATGAAAGGGGCGGATTGGGAAGGGGGGGGGGTACGAAATTTGCTGCATGCAGCTGGTTTCGGCCCCGCCGAGGGGCCCATTCCTCGATACATAGCCGCCTCCGGCGCCGGGAGGCGCCGGGAAAATCAGCTACGTGAGCTGATTCTCAAACCCCCCCTTTGCTATCCCCCCCTTTCGCCCGACCCGAGACGGGCGACGAACCCAGGCCCCCTCGAGTCCTGCAAGCATCACGCCGGGGGGCTTGTCGCAGTGCTCGGCTCACCGGCCCTCGGGGCGGTCAAGAAACGGCTCGGGACGAAAAGCCGGTCCCGGGGAAGGGGTCCAGAGACCGCTGGGGTTCGACGTCATGGAAGAATCATGACGTCGGGGGTCTGGATTGATAGGGGGGGGCGATGAATGAAGGGGGGGCCGCGAGGGCTGCCGACAAGGGGCCCTTCAGGGCCCCTATGAAGGGGTCCTTTGAGGGCCCAGAAGCGGGCCTTTACGGCCCGAAGAGGGCACCTTTCTTTCCCCCCCCGGTGTATCGCCCCCTACGAATTCGCGCACACAGGAGCCCCCCAATTGCTCAGGCAGGACAGGCGTCACGATGTCACGACGACCCGAGAGCACAACTACCGCAGCAACGGCCGTTTTTCTAAACGACAGGCGCCCCGGGAGACAAGATGTGAAATTCACAGAGAGCGTAGTATTGCACAAAGTGGTACATTCCACGACAAAGCAGGCATGGTAGGCTTCATGACGTCACGCCGACCCGAGAAAGTAGCAAGATCAGCAATGACCGATTTGAGGCGACAGACGCTAGTGGGGACAAATCGAGGAAGCCATAGACAGCATGGGAAGACAGAGCGATCGACACATTCCACTACTGATCATGCAGGACTGGCGTCAGCTAGCATGAGGGCTAGAACAGCCCCACCTTTGCACTATTATGTTCCTCGTGCCTGGGCTCTCCGCCTTGGAAGCTTTTTTCGTCTCGATCTTATATATATATATATATATATCCACGGGTGCCTGGCCCATCGGCGAAGGGGCCATGTTCTTGACACACGATCGTGGCCATGGTTCGACTGTGCTGCGTAGACGTCCAAACTTCAACCAAGACGCTCCCGCTTTCCTGCCGCAAGGAAGCCCGCGAGGGCGCGAAGGTAATTATTAGCGCCTGGCGGTCCGGCTCCGATTCCTCTTCGTCTTCTTTTCTTTCGGCTCTCTTCGTCCCTTCTTTTTCTCCTTTTCGTATTGCTCTTCGTCTTCTTTTCTTCGTCTTCTTCCTCTTCGTCTTCTTTTCCTCTTTCTTCGTCTTCTGTTCGTCTTCGGCGAGCGCGAAGGTATTCGCGTTTCGCTCAGCGCGAGGCGCGACACTGGGCGACCGTGTACAGTGCAAACCCATGCCAAACAACACCCTGCTTGCCTCCAGGGTGCCCTGGGTTTCTTGGGTGTCTGTGGTCTTGCGATGGAAAGCGTGACGATCCCACACCCAAACTCAATGGACGCCCTGGGGTCTCAGGGCTGGGTTCCCTGTGGGAGGTTCTTGCGGTCGAGCTCCTGCTGCACTGGGTCTGGATGGGGCCTGTGCTCTGTTGCTTGTCATCATGGGGCCTGGGCTGCGGCGCGCTTGGACCGCCGACTCTGTCGCGGCGCTGTGTTACGAAGGCAGCAGTCGGGCCTGGCGATAGCCCGATTGAGCGCCCACGCCGTGTCCCCCTCCTCCCCCTCCTTCGTCTCCTCCACCCTCCCTCCTCCTCCCTCCTTCCTCCTCCTCCTCCTCCTCCTCCTCCTCCTCCTCGGCGATCACCGGGGGGCAGCGAGGGCCGCAGAGAAGGAGCCCGTGGGGCCCCTTTGAAAGGGCCCCCCTGGGTCCCCCCACAAGGGGGCCTCCAAAAGGGGGCCTCCAAAATCGCGCATCTCTCCTCCAGATTTTATCGCCCCCCCTATTATCGGGGGCGGCCAGGAGGGGGGTGATGACTAGGGGGGGTGGATATCATGGCGGGGGTCATGATACTTCTTCAGATTTCATGGCGCCTCTTCTTATTTCATTACGTCCCTGGCCCCCCCGCTGGGCCGCGCACATGCCGCCGGTCATGATTTGCACCCCCCCTCTTGGACACCCCCCTCTTGGCCGCTCCCGATATTAACACGACGCCCAAGGATTTCTTTGCTGTGTCATCGTCACCGAGACCACCATCTTGTGCAGCACGAGTTTCGGTACGAGAGTCTGCCGTGCTGCTCGCTCAGCCCGGGAGAGAGTTGTCGTGGTGATGGATGTTGGCTTGATGGCAACAGCGTTGTGGACAGAAGGGTGGCTCGAGAATGCAACATACCTATTTCCATGTAAGTCCTCCCCGATCAATCCTCCTTACCCTCATCCTAGGGGCGAGCGTCGAGACGAGGGCGAAATAGCAGAGAACCAGCGTGCGGCCACATGGTTTAGCGGCGCATGCACGAAGGGCGACGAAAGCAAGTGTACCTAGGTGGGCCGCGAATGAGCGTGCGAGGACGAGGAGGGATGCAGGGAGGATTTGAAGGAGCAGGGGCACACGACGAAGTCGCATTCAGCAGCGGATGGAGAAACATTGATTGAGATTCGTGGCATGCGCTCAGGCGTGTTATCTCAACACAGACCTTTGCGCATACGAAAAGAACAGCTGCTGGGAGCTCACCGAGATTAATCAAGTCTCACGTGGGACCGGGAAGTGGCACCCATTGGCGCGGAGGGACGGAGGAGGGAGGAGTCAGAGGAGGAATCAGCAGCAGGAGGAGGAGGAGGAGGAGGAGCAGGAAGAGGAGGTGGAGGATGAAGAAGAGAAGATCATACGTGGGATGGAGAAGTGGCAACGACCCGCTGCGCGGTTGGAGGTTGCGGGGATAGCAAAGAAGCCAAGAGAGAGGGTGGTAAGAGGGGAGGGAGGGGTGGAAAGGAGCAAGTAAGAGGAGGGGTGGAGGGTGATGAGATGGAGCAAGGGGAAGGATGCGCTCCAGAACATGTCTGGGGGGAGCGAACGAAAATGGGACCACGGACGAAGGCAGGGTGTGAGAACTCGACCTCCAATCTGGCGCTTTGGGTGTCAAGGGATAGTGGCACGTGCCAGGGAGCTGGGGAAGGGGAGGGGTAGGAACAAGGGGAGGCAGGGAACGGGGCAGCGGGGGCGGGGGGAGGAGCTGGGAGCGGAGGGACGCCGGCGCGTGCCATGATATGTGCCGTCATATATATATATATATATATATATATGTGTGTTTGTGTGTGTTTGTGCGTGGCTCTGCGGGTGCTCTGGCGAGCGGCGCCGGGGACATGTCGAGTTTCCGCCCCCCTTTGATTTGGCACAAAGTATCTTACCCGACTTTCATCTGATCCTCCCCCGTCCGCTCTCCTCGCCCTTCTCCCCCTCCTCCTCCTTCTCCTCCTCTTCCTCCTCCTCCTCTTCTATCCTTAATGCACCTTTTTCTCTCTTGCTCCACCTCGTCCTTCGTCCTCCCTTCTCGCTCATGGCTCTTCGTCGGCCTCCTCCTTGTTCTCCTCAGTCACTCCTCTTCCTCCTCCTCCTCCTCCTCCTCCTCCTCCTTTCTGATTCCCCCGAGTTCCCTCGTTCCTCATGGTCGCCTCTCCGGTATGCAGATGCAGCAGAGGGGGGGAAACGAGGGAAACAGGGTGAAGGAGGAACGGGGGAGAGCTTATTCCTCCTCATCCCTCCCCGTCGCCGCTCCCCAACTCGTTTGATTGCCCCGCCTCTTCTGGCTTTCATTTCTGTTGTTGTTTTCTCTGCAAGACATGATATTCGCATTATTATTATGATTCCTCTTCCTACCTCTGCGTCGCAATTTCCCTCCGCCTTCTCCTCCTCCTTCCCATCTTCCTCCTTATCCTATTCCTACTCCTCCTCCTTCTCCTCCTCCTTCTCCCTTTCCTTCTCCTCTTCCTCTCTCGCCCCCCGCCCTTTATCCACCCGGTTTACACCTTCACCATATGAATATTAGTCTTCTCTCTCCCCCGAATACCCCGCCTCCGTGTCGTGTTTTTACACAGGATTTGCCCCACATGTTTTTTTCATGTGTTTTTTGTTGTTGCAGTCCGATTGTGTGCAGTTGTGTTCCAACGTGGTGCTCCTGCTGCAGCGCGGGCCCCGTGTTCGGATCGGCGTGGTGCTCCCGACGTCCGGAATGGCGCTCTCGCACCAGCGTGTGCCCGCAGGTCTCGCAGGTCTCACAGGTCGCACGGTTCTCACAGGTCCTGCAAAAAAACCCAGGATTGCAAAAAAAAAACAGGATTGCAAAAAAAAACATGTTTTTTTTGCAATCCAGGGTTTTTTTTGCAATCCCAGGTCCCACAGGTTCCACAGGTCCCCACGGGCGTCGCAGGTCCCACACGCCCCACGGGCCTCAGAGGTCCCCCAGGTCGCCCAGGTCCCACGAGTGTTCTTTGTTCCGACTGGGCATCACACCATGGGGTCTCTTGTGGAAAAAAGTACGGTTGGTTAACCTTCCCGAGGGCACCCTTGCGTCCTTAGATTTGCTCGGCAGTGCGCCGCCAGAAAAGCTTCAACTGGGGCATCCAAGAATCGTTCAAGGATCTTGCGTCCTTGCAGCGCGTCCTTACTACATATTCTGACTGTATGGTACGCATCCGCGGGCAGAGACGAAAGGATGGGAGGCAGGGACAGGATGTCAGACACGACGCAAGCGCACCTAGCTTGCGCCTCTCCCAGTCTCTCCCCTCCCTCTCGAGTGCCACTCCATCTTCCTACTCCCCCTTCTCTCAGAGAGCGGGGGAGGAGGGAATATGAGAAGAGGGAGGTAGAGGTGGGGCAGGAGAGGGGCAGGGAGAAGGGAGAGGATGAGGCAAAGGAGGAGGAGGAGGAGGAGGAGGACGACGACGAAGAAGGGGGGAAATGAGTAGGAGGGGGATGGCGACGGGGAGTTAGGAGGAGGAGGAGGAAGAAAAATAAGAAGAAGAATAAGAAGAGGAGAGGCAGTCGAAGGAGCTGTGAAACGGGGACCAGTCGAGAGGAGGAGGAGGAGGAGGATCAATAGGAATAGAGAAGGGGTTGGAGGAGGAGTTGGGGAACGGCGACGGGGAAGGAGGAAGAGGAGAAGAGGGAGAACGCGCGGGAGGGGGGCTGGGGGGGGGGAGTATGCTAAAGGAGGAGGATACAACTGAGGAAGAAGGTGAGGAGGAAGAGGAGGATGAGGAAGGAAGGGAGAGGAGGATGAGGAGGAGCAGAGGGAGGAGGGGGCGAGGGAGGAGGAGGAGGGGGAGGAAGAGGAGGAGAAGAGGAGGAGGAGGAGGAGGAGGAGGAGGAGGAGGTGGATGAGTAGCAGCAGCAGTAGCAGCAGCAGCAGCAGCAGCAGGAGAGGAGTAAGAAGAGGAGTAGGAGGAGGGGGAGGAGGAGTTGTGCACGATGCCGGTGTCACCATGTGCGCGGTCGTGGCCACGGTGGCGGTGGCCGCGCATGTTGTTGTCGTCATCGTGCAGGCTACACTGTATTGGCTACCATGTTTGCTGCTGTCGTTGCCGTGATTCCGCTTGCTGCTCTGGCCTGGGGCAGACACGGTGCCTTGGTCCCTCAAGTTGCAGAAACAGGGCTGCAAGAATTTCAAGGCCTCCCGACCTGATGCGCCAAATATCGCCACTTCAAGCCGCTTCCCCTCCCCTCTCCCCCTCCCCCCTCCTCCCTTTCACTCCCTCCACCCCCGTGTCCTACCCCCTTCCTCCAATTAGCATGTTCCTCCTCTTCTTCCTGCTGACGCCGTTCCCTTCCTTCCCCCCCTCATCATCCTCCTCGCCTCCCCCTCCCCCTGCGGTGTCCCCCACATCTCGCTACTGTCGCTGCTTCGCGCAGGGGGAGGGGGGCGGAGAAAGGAAGCAGGTGGGGATTATGATGAGGAGGAGGAGGAGGAGGAGGAGGAGGAAGGAGAAGGAAATTCCGGATTGGCCTCGGTTGCATCAGAGCGTGAGGGAGGGGGAAGGGGTGGAAGGAAGAGTAAAAGGAGACGGATTAACCAGAAGAAGAGGGTGGGCGGCGACGGGGACGGCGACGGGGAGTAAGGAAGAGGAGGAGGAGGAGGAGGAGGAGGAGGAGGAAGAGGAGGAGGAGGAGGAAGAGGAGGAGGAGGAGGAGGAGGAGGAGGAGGAAGGGGCTGGAAGAAGCATAAGAATGAGAAGTACTGTCGAAACCGATAGTATGAGGATAACCTTCCCAAGGGTACCCTTGCATCCTTGCCTCGTCGGTCCATCCTTCACCGCTTTCGATGGCCAGCCCCGCTCGACGAGTTTCAACATGGGCGTCCAAGGGGCCTGCAACCGTACCGCGCATCCTTACCATCAGCAGTACGCAGGGAATCCAACGTGGGGCCGCAGGAACCGGTGAGTTATCGCCCCGCCAGGGCTGCAGGAGGCGAGTCCTGGAGGATGCGGAGGAGTGATGATGATGATGATGATGATGAGGATGAGGATGAGGATGAGGATGAGGATGAGGATGAGGATGAGGATGAGGATGAGGATGAGGATGAGGATGAGGATGAGGATGAGGATGATGATGATGCTGCTGCTGCTGATGAGGATGAGGATGAGGATGAGGATGAGGATGAGGATGAGGATGAGGATGAGGATGAGGATGATGAGGGGGAGGAGCGCTGGGCGGCCCGGCTGGCCGCGGGGCGCCGACTGGGCGCACCTCGTGAAGCCGTGCGGAAGGAAGGAAGGAAGGAAGAGGAGGAGGAGGAGGAGGAGGAGGAGGAGGAGAAAGAGGAGGAGGAGGAGGAGGAGGAGGAGGAGGAGGAGGAGGAGGAGGAGGAGGAGGAGTGTGTATGGTTGTCTCCTTCTCTTCCCCAGCAGTCGGCTTCGTTGCTCTGTGCCCACATGGGTTTTGTTCTGCTTGACTTTACACGTCTGCCTTTCCTGATCCACACGTGTCGCCTCCTTGATTCGTGTTGCACATCGCTCAGTCTGACTCCTGCTTTTTGCAAGAACGCTACAATCCGAGTGTTCACGTTGGCGCAACGTCAAAAAGAGGACGAGGAGGAGGAGGAGGAGGACGAGAAAGAGGAGGAGAAGGAGGAGGAGGACGGGGAGGAGGAGAAGGAGGAGGCACAGGAGACAGATGATGGGGCAAGCGACGGGGAGGGAGGAAGAGGCGATCCCATCTTTCAGTTCGCAAAGCACAGCGTGGAGCAAGTATACTTATCCGTACGGGCTTCACCCTTCTTATTTGAATCGGAGGTGTCAGAATTATGCTGGACATCGGCGCTGGTTCAAAAACTTCGGGGGGGCATCGCGCGAGGACGATTGGCATTCCGCAAGCACCCTGAGATGCTGGGGTTACTCTTGAACGCTACGTTTCCTGCTCAGAGTGCGAAGCCGGCGTACTTTCCAAGAGGATCTGGTCTCGGGAGCGAGATTTTGGCGTTCTTTAGCACTGGCTGTGGCCTCGGGAGCGCGAATCTAGCACAATGTACAAATGGCTCTCTTGTCTCGGGAGCGCGATTGGGGCTTCGGGGGCGCGAGCGAGGAGTACTTCATTAAGCGTTATGATTTCGGGACCGCGAACCTGTTCTTTACCAGCCTCGAACGTATCCCTATCCCTAAGATTGACACGCCAAAAGGCGATGACAATCTTATGGATTCGCCTTCAAAAAATAAGGGAATCCCTAAGATTGGCATCGTGATGAGGAGGTGCCCAGCATAGGGATAGGGATATGTTCCAGGCTGGTAAGTTCTTATGTACCACTTAGTCTGGCCTCGGGATCGCGAATCCGGTGTCATTTACCAGATGTTCGGGTTTCAGGGGCACGAATCTGGCGTAACTGACTGAGGATCCTGGCCTGAGAAGCGCGAGCCGGGCGTAACCTAGTAAGGAGTGATCGATCAAAGAACGGGGGTCCGATTAGCCCCTCAGGAGCCCAAAATGGGCACAGCACCAACGTAACATCAATGATTTCGCCTTCTCGCCCAGGCCGCCTTGGACGCTCCAACCCCTCGCGACACCCCCCGTCCCTTTCTAGGCGGAGGGGATAGGGAGAGTGGCAAACCCGTCCCCGAAGGGGAAGAGCGGGGGTTAGAAGAGGACACGCCCTAAACCACCTACGCCCTAAGGGACTGGTGGGATTCGCGAGGAAGTCTCGAGCCAGAGTGCGGTTCTTGAACAAACTGTGTGGGTGTGTCAAGCAGAAACCGTTCTTGTTGTAGCCAGGTGCCCAGGGTTGTAGTGCGAGCAGGAAGGCTTCCCCTAAGAGAACTTGCTTAGCGAAGAACCCAACCATCTGCAGTTGTGAGTGCCGCAGTTGTGGGTATCGTCTTCCGTGGAGCTTCCTCTGGGGCCACGAAACGCTGTATTGGGCGGGGGAAACGCATGGGAACTGCGCCACTTGGACCTTCGGTGGAGCTCCCTCTGGGGCCACGAAACGCTGTACTAGGTGGGGGGACACAAGCGAACTGCGCCACCGGGGCCTTCGGTGGAGCTCCCTCTGAGGCCACGAAACGTTGTGCTGTGTAGGGGGGGGACGCATGCGGACTGCGCCACTGGGACCTTCGGTGGAGCACCCTCTGGGGCCACGAAACGTTGCACTGGGCGGGGGGACCGATGCAAACTGCGCAATGGGGACCTTCGGTGAAGCTCCCAATGGGGCCACGACGCGCTGTACTGGGCAAGGGGGACACATGCGAACTGCGCCACTGGGACCTTCGGTGGGGCTCCATCTGGGTCCACGAAACGTTGTGCTGTGTGGGGGGACGCATGCGGACTGCGCCACTGGGGCCTTCGGTGGGGCTCCCTCTGGGTCTACGAAGCGTTGTACTGTGCAAGGGGGACACATGCGAACTGCGCCACTGGGACCTTCGGTGGGGCCCTCTTTGGGGCCACGAAGCGCTGCACTGGGCGGGGGTGACGCACGCGAGCTGCGCCACTGGGACCTTCGGTGGAGCTCTCTCTGGGTCCACGAACGCTGCGCTGGGTGGGGGAGACGCATGCGGACTGCGCCATTGGGGCCTTCGGTGGAGCTCGCTCTGGGGCCACGAAACGTTGTGCTTGGTGGGGGAACCGCATGCGGACTGCGCCACTGGGACCTTCGGTGAAGCTCCTTCTGGGCCACGCAACGTTGAACTGGGCGGGGGGGACGCTTGCATGCGGACTGCGCCACTGGGACCTTCGGTGGAGCTCCCTCTGGAGCGACGAAACCCTCTATTGGCCGGGGGGGACGCATGCGAATTGCGCCATTGGGGCCTTCGGTGGAGCTCCCTATAGACCCACGAAACGCTTTACTGGGCGGGAGGACGCATGCGGACTGCGCGCCGGGGCCTTCGGTGGAGCTCCCTCTGGGGCCACGAAACGCTGTACTGGGTGGGGGGGGGGCGCATGCGGACTGCGCCATTGGGGCCTTCGGTGGAGCTCCCTCTGGGGCCACGACGCGCTGTACTGGGCGGGGGGGACGCATGCCGACTGCGCCTCTGGGAGTTTCGCTTGAGCTTCCCCTGGGGCAATGGAGCGTTGTACTGTGTTGGGGGACGCATGCGGACTGCGCGCCGGGGCCTTCGGTGGAGCTCCCTCTGGGGCCACGAAACGCTGTACTGGGTGGGGGGGGGCGCATGCGGACTGCGCCATTGGGACCTTCGGTGGAGCTCCCTCTGGGGCTACGACGCGCTGTACTGGGCGGGGGGGACGCATGCCGACTGCGCCTCCGGGAGTTTCGCTTGAGCTTCCCCTGGGGCAATGGGGCGTTGTACTGTGTTGGGGGACGCATGCGGACTGCGCCACTGGGACCTGGGACCCTCGGTGGAGCTCCCTCTGGGTCCACGAAACGCTGCACTGGGTGGGAGGGAGGCACACGAACTGCGGAGGAGGGGCTAGTGGGAGGAGGAGAGGAGGAGAAGGAGGAGGAGGAGGAGGAGGAGGAGGAGGAGGAGGAGGAGGAGGAGGAGGAGGAGTGGAGAGGAGAGGAGGAGAGGAGGAAGAACGCGGGGCGCTGTCTCTTCAAACAGAGGACCCAACGACAGAGGATGGTTGGGAAAAAGACGGTGCGAGAGTCGGAAGAAACAGTTCAAATGCAAAGGTAAGTGGAAATCGGCGGGGGGATCGACAATGATTGACCTTCAGAAGTGAGAGTTCAACAAAGCATCGACGGACATTTCAGCCGTTTAGCGCTGGAGCAACCCTCGCCGACGTGCGTTCGGGCTCCCCTCGGGAAGTTGAAGCTTGCTGTCGCTCGGAGGCCACCGCGAAGCCTGGTCACGGCGGCCCTGCATGGCTGGAAGAGGGGGAGGCCCAGGAGGGGGAAGATGGAGGAGGAGGAGGAGGAGGAGCACGGAGGGGATGGGGTGAGGAGATGGAGAAGAACGGAGGGAGGAGGCCTGCTGGGAGCCTCTCGGTACTAGCATGTAGACAGTTGGGCAAGGTGGGACGTGCAGGTTACCAGTTAATCGCTTTGTCTTGGTAGTCTTGTCTTCTGCCGCCTGCCGTTGTTTGTTTATCCCTCTTGCGCATAAGGAAGATGCGATCGCCTTGGTGCACGTTTGGAATGTCGACCAGTGTGGCAAAAAATGCCAGGACGCAGCCGCATGGGAAGGCTCGGCAGCGGCAGAACAGGGGAGTTGGGTCCGCAGTACTATAGCAGGAAATACTGTGCGAGGACGTGCCAACCCAGCATTTGCTCGGCGGTATCGCGCATCCCCACCAGCCTATCCAGAGACAGTTCCCAGGCGACCGGTCGTGAGAGGGGGAGTGGGCGACCACCATGGACAGAAAGCGGGCTCCCGCCAAACCGAAGGAGGGATCAGCCCAAGCATTGGAGACTTGAAAATGAGCACCAACACCAACACAGGGGGTTGCCTCCGTTGGGGAAGAATGATCCTAGATTCTGGTGCCGGTGGCTCTGCTTCTGTCACCGAGGAAGCCCGAATACTGACATCATCCCCGAGATCGGGATCATCTCCCCTCCGTGGAGGCACACCGCGAGGGAGCAATCTCTGGTTGATGCTCAAGCCGCAGCCAGAAAGAGCTCTCCGGGGGCCCTCCGGGCGCCCTCCCGAGGCGTTCGGGGGCACTTCCGGGAGCCTGCCGGCGGGGCGCAGGGCGACGCCCGCCTCCGCTCTTCAGGAGGGGAAAAAAACACAGACACAATTAACCGTCGATCCCTAAGAAAATATGGGAAAACATGGGAATTGGGCGGGAAGACAAAAAACCAGAAAATATAAAGAAAAATATGGGGCATCATTTTATTTGTGCGTATTTGTTTGTGTGTCCTTGGGCCCCTTGAGCTCTCCCCGCCTCTGCTGCGGGGGGGTGCCCGCGGCAGCTCTGCTCGGGAGCCTCTGCTGCACTCTGCCCAGTGCTGGCCAGTGGTCTCGGGGGTGGACAGAACCCCTCACAGTGACACGTCGATTAGTGAATTGTCCGTTTTCGGTTCTCGAGAGGGCGCCGCGGCCGCTATTTTCCAGGCTCTCGCCCGCCAGGTTTGGGCCTCAGGTCGTTTTCACTAAACCACGTTTCACTAGAGGGAGGTCTGTCCATCCCCGATGGTCTCGCAGCCTCTCTCAAGGCTCAAGAGACGACGACGGCGCCGACAACGATCACGATAGCAGCGACAACAGCGACAGCGAGAACGATAACAGCCATGAACGATAACAACTACAACGATAACGAGATCGTCGTTGTTTGATCGTTGCCAGGGTCAATGCAAACGGGGGTCAGTCAGAGCGCCGGATCGGCACACACGCGCGCTATTCCAAGTCACCGAACAGCCAGGCCACCCACACGCCGTCCCACTGGATCTGGAGACGTGTGGAGTGACACGCTAATTTCCCTTCACCATTCCTGGCAAGGCCACACGCTATACCCCTTGACCGCCAGTCGCAGTTACCGTTTCGATGAATGCTTCATCATCGCGCTCCTCCCCCCTCCCCTCCCCCCCAATCAGCCCCTGCACACACCTAATCCTGAGGTCCGTGGCCGCCAGGACTAGGAGCGTCAGCCGGTGACCCTGGCAGCGGCGGCGTGCCTATCCGGAAGTTCTCTCCCACCACCCAGATGGAAGGGCGCACCCCCAACATGGAGCGACAAGGCGGCGACGAACGACCAGCAAGCGTTGTGCCTGCCATGTTGGCGAGGGCCTCGTTCTGAAAAGGAGTTGCCTTGCATCTCTCAGGGTCATTATCGGGAGCGCGAGAAACCAGGATCCTGCAGTTGAACAGGCGTCCAGCGAGATCCTCATTTCGAAGGAGGGCCGCCCCCCGTCCGCGTACCTAATTCGTGCGCGCGCGTTTGCAGCTGTGGCCATAAGTGCAGAGGAGGTCTAAAACAACAGCTCCAGCTTGACAGAGGGCCGCCCTCTACCCGTGCTGTGCGACATGCGTTGAGACGTCTGGCTCTTGAATCAATACATTGCGAGAGAGAGAGAGAGCGAGGGAGAAAGAGAGAGAGAGAGAGGACGCCACATTTTGAAAAACAGCAGGACTCAATCCTCTCAATCGCTGCAACCTGTTGATCAGACTGTGCGCGGTGCCGAGGCGAGAAACCCGTTTTTGAAAACGACACACGTGCTCAACCTTGGTGAACGTTACGACGTTTGAGGCGAGAGTGCGCGGCACACCGGCGAGCGTGCGCGGCACACCGATCCCTGAATGTGTTGAAATTTCTTCAGGAGGGAAAAACACAGACACAATGACTGTAATCGCCGACTCCCAGGAATATATGGGAAGATATGGGAAGGGGGGGGGGGGACGACGAAATCCCAGAGAATATGGGGAATTCTGGGGCTTCTTGGGATTTGTGTGTAAGTATGTGTGTGTGTGTCCCTGGGCTCCTTCAATCTTGAAGGCGAAGGCGCGCGGCGCTAAGACGAGCACCTCGTGAAAACGGCCTGTGCTCCATCCCTGTACCTGCTGTCATCTCTTACGGCGAGGGTGCGAGCGGTACTGCGACGAGAGCCACATGTTTGTGAGCAGGGGCCGCCCTCCGTCTCTGCAACTGCTGCCAAGCATGCGGCGGGGCGCTTGAGCTCACCGCCCACCAAACCACCCCAACCCAACCCGAGGGCTCAGATTTACCGTCGATTTCCAGCGGGGGGGGGTCGAGGAACATCGAAAAACACGCGTGGAACCCTCACCCCCCCCCAACCCGAAATTCGGGTCTTCGGGTTGGGTTGGGGTGGTCTGGTAGGTAGTCATGAGCGAGAGCCACATGCTGAGAGCGACCACCGTTCCGATCCTGCAAGCGCCGCTAAGCTCGAGCGTCTCGGTCGCGCGAGTCGTCGGAGAAAGACTCTCGGGGCGGAACGCCCAGCCCGCCCCAAGGACACGCTCGGGGGGTGCAGGAGGGGGGAGCTATGGAGCCCGCAGCGCGGGAGTTACGGCGGGCCCCATCAGGGGGAAGCTTGCACACACATTGCGCAACCCGTGGGCGTTAGGGTTAAATCGGGCGTGTCCCTCTACAGGAGGAATATACAAAAATAGTCAAAGAATAGTATGGGGACGATTTTACCTAACAGCGAAGACTGATAGGTTTCTAATGGGCTAAAAACAGCTCACAGATCACTCCACAGGGGGGTCCGGGCAGGTGTTGGGAGTTGCCGGGCGGGCCTGTGCCGGCCTCGTTTTTCACCAACAGTCACACACTTCGTGCTCTTCGACTTCCCAGAACTCCATTCCCAGGCTCATTCTGAATAACCGGATGCAACAGTCACACACTTCGTGCTCTTCGAGATCCCAGAACGCCATTCCCGGGCCACATTCTGGAGGGCCGGATGCAACAGTCACACACTTCGTGCTCTTCGAGTTCCCAGAACTCCATTCCCGGGCCACATTCTGGAGGGCCGGATGCAACAGTCACACACTTCGTGCTCTTCGAGTTCCCAGAATTCCATTCCCGGGCCACATTTTGGATGCCCGGAGCCAACTGTAGGCCACTTCCTGGTCTTCGAGTTCCCAGAACTCCATTCCCGGGCCACATTTTGAATAGCCAGACGCAACAATCATACAATTCTTCGTACTTGACACCCCAGAACATTATTCCCGGGCCACGTTCTGAGTAACGGGATGCAGCAGAAATGCATTTCGAGCTCTTTGGCTTCCCAGAACTTCATTTCCAGGCCACATTCGGAATAACAGCATGCAAGAGTCAAACACTTCGTGTCCGAGACCTCTCAGAACGCCATTCCCAGGCTACATTTGGAAAAATTGCACACAAGAGGTATACACGCCGGGTTATCTGGCTGTCTGGAACGGCAATCCCGGGATACATTCAGAGTAATTACCTAACAGCGAAGACTGATAGGTTTCTAGTGGATTCAAAAGAGCTCACAGATCACTCCACAGGGGGGTCTGGGCAGGTGTTGGGAGTTGCCGGGCGGCAGGGTGCCGGGCTCGTTTTTCACCAACAGTCACACACTTCGTGCTCTTCGACTTCCCAGAACTCCATTCCCAGGCTCATTCTGAATAACCGGATGCAACAGTCACACACTTCGTGCTTCTTCCATTCCCGGGCCACATTTTGAATGCCCGGAGCCAACTGTACCACTTCGTGCTCTTCGAGTTCCCAGAACTCCATTCCCGGGCCACATTTTGGAGGCCCGGAGCCAACTGTAGGCCACTTCGTGCTCTTCGAGTCCCAGAACTCCATTCCCGGGCCACATTTTGAATGCCCGGAGCCAACAGTAGGCCACTTCGTGCTCTTCGAGTGCCCAGAACTCCATTCCTGGGCCACATTTTGAATGCCCGGAGCCAACTGTAGGCCACTTCGTGCTCTTCGAGTTCCCAGAACTCCATTCCCGGGCCGCATTTTGATGCTGATGCAGAGGCTGAGAATGGTGATGCTGATGCTGAGGCTGAGGCTGAGGCAGGCAGGCTGAGGCTGATGAGGCTGAGGCAGGCTGAGGCTGAGGCCGAGGCTGAAGGCAGGCTGAGGCAGACGCTGAGGCAGGCTGAGGCTGAGGCAGGCTGAGGCTGAGGCTGAGGCTCAGGCAGGCTGATGCTGAGGCAGGCTGAGGCTGAGGCTGAGGCTGAAGGCAGACTGAGGCTGAGGCAGGCTGAGGCAGACGCTGAGGCAGGCTGATGCTGAGGCAGGCTGAGGCTGAGGCTGAGGCTGAGGCTGAGGCGGATGCAGGCTGATGCTGAGGCAGGCTGAGGCACAGAGGCTGAGGCTGAAGGCAGACTGAGGCTGAGGCTGCAGGCTGAGGCTGAGGCTGAGGCAGGCTGAGGCTGAGGCTGAGGCAGGCTGATACTGAGGCAGGCTGAGGCTGTGACTGCGACTGCCGCTGCCACTGCGACTGTCATCGCGAATGCGACTGCGACTGCGAGAACAGCAGAACTCTACAACTGGATTCTCATCTGAATCTTAAGGGGAATGCTTCCATATATGCTTCTACACAACGCTGTTAGGTTGCTTTGCCGGGATAATCGTGTTTTTACCTAACAGCGAAGACTGATAGGTTTCTAGTGGTCTAAAATAAAAAGAGCTCACAGATCACTCCACAGGGGGGTCCGGGCAGGTGTTGGGAGTTGCCGGGCGGCAGGGTGCCGGGCTCGTTTTTCGCCAACAGTCACACACTTCGT